CTAGCCACCCTTGCCAGCACCTCACTAGCCACCCTTGCCAGCACCTCCCTAGCCACCCTTGCTAGCACCTCACTAGCCACCCTTGCCAGCACCTCACTAGCCACCCTCTCCCTAACCACCCTTGCCAGCACCTCACTAGCCACCAGTTGAGCCATCCTTCAAAACACCGTCTACAAAAAAAACACCTGTGCACTTACCGCCATTTGACATACTGTATTCATACTGTTCTCTGATTTCATACAACTTGTCTTTTATCAACTCCATTTTGTGATTCTAAAATTGAAAGCATAAAGAAACATACAAGGTAACACTAGTAAAAAAACTTCTTAATGGTGAATATTGACACTTCAACAGAATAGAGAAAGCTGCATAGTACATTATACAAAGGTCACTTCCTCTTTGCTCTCCTAATATTTGTCAACATTCTAACAAGACCTCACCTTCTAGAAGTGCACACAAAACCACAATGTAAATATTAGCACTCCTCCATCCCATAATAATTATCAGACATACCGACACAACAGCTATTCTGGCGTATATGATTTATAACATTTTTTTAGTTATCAGAGTGAAGTTGAAAGCTTTTTTTTTAAATACTATACTGTGCATGTACTTGTTTGACTTGGTGCCAAAGGTACTCCAAAACTCATGTTAGTAGGAACTTAGCCGAGCACCCATCTGAATAAAGTATGTAAATGACTATTTTAGTTCACCATGCACCAGATTGAGGGGAATATTATGTCTCTTTAGGGAAAATAAAATTGCAAAAATAGTTGCACTTTTACAATGAAGAAACAGAAATTCAAAAATAAACACACTTAATTACAATTTAATTGAGTACCATCAGAATACACAATGTTAAAATTATCAGAATCTGTGGGAACACAGTAAAAGTCATAATCTTTACATTATCTTCATTGTCAGATGTGTTCATTTGTACACAAACTGTGGATGCAAAGTATTTTCGGCCATGACCTGGAACAACATCCTTTGACCTGATAGGTCAAGCCTGTTATTAACCAATCAGAATGGAGTGTTGTACTGATACAGTTCTCTGGTAATTCCTAATGACATTCTGATAACACAATGTGGAAGTGAATTAATAATGTCAAAGTACGATCTATTCAAAGTGCGATTGTGGTGAACAAACTGAACGATTTAAAAAAAAAATAATTTGAAAATAGTTTATGCATGGTTACAATGGTCTACGCATTCACAACATAATCACAATGGTTGATATCCCAGGTTTAGTATGTGCAGTTGATAGTCACTCGTAACTATTTTCTGAACCATTTTATAACGAATAAATAATCTAATTCCCATCAGCAAAAATAGGCTTTTTGGGAACTAATGAATGTATTACCCCGGTACTATAGGAATTGAATGTTAAAGCATTGTTCCATACATGTAGGTCCATCACGAGCATCTAGTTTCTGATTACATAATATTTCTTCATACTATTTTACTCTACACACAATGTTACAGTTTAAAATCTAGACTGTTCAAAGAATTGTTCAATAAAAATGTTTATATATAGAATTTTATAACAATTAGTAATAAAATGAATACAACAGCACATGTCACATTATTTTAGACTAATCCAAACAGTGAAACACACAGGTATCCATCTTACCTTAGATCTGTGCTGAATACTATCCCAGAAATCAAACTGCAGATTACACAGAAACAATTCTCTGTTGAGAACTTCCTACACTTATGAGTATAATGTGCGTGTTAGTGCCGGCAACCACAAAACAGGTCAAAGGTTTTTACGGCTGTTAGCAAAACAATGAACCTTGTTGCTAGGCAGCAAGAGTTCATACAAGTACATACATGCATAACTCATGAACGTAAATGCTTTCATTTTCTAGTCGGATTCAATGTAGGGACAAATGTCCCTTCAAGTTTACACAGTAGACATGTGTGCTTTTAATCTCATCTTCAATTTTAAACCAAAGAAATGTTTGAGAAAAAATTCAACAATCCAGATGACGGGATGACAGTCCTGACCTCCATGAATTTTGTAATTGATTCCATATCGTTATATCATGGCAGTCCAAAGTAATAATTTTCATTATTAAATAATACAGGCAATCTGATTGGTCCATGCAAGCAGATTGACTTTATTATTAAATAATATAGACAATCTGATTGGTCCATGCAAGCAGATTGACTTTATTATTAAATAATATAGACAATCTGATTGGTCCATGCAAGCAGATTGACTTTTTGACATCATGGCTGAGTATCATGGAATACATCAATAAGTTACAAGAGAACTGGTGATGGTTTTAGAACCATAACTGCCTCAGCTCAAAGATTGTTATGTAATACAGGGGAATGTAAAGGACAATGTATTGTAATGTTACCTCTGTGTAATTTACAATTAACCTTCACTGTGAAAGACAATATGGTAGTTGAATTAAATGACTGGTAAAAGCAAGGCTGATCAAATTCTGCGAAATAGTAGTTAGAATTTCTAGATACGCAATCGACACATTGTGAGATATCAAAATATTGATGATAAACAGCAAGTGATATTTCCAGAGATGTAGTTGGAATTTAAGCAAAGGAGTGACCTATTAATCCATGAAACATACTCACACATATCCGTACATATCATCCTGTCTT